TCTGGGCAGCTGTTCCAGCACCTCACCACTCTCATAGCAAAGAACTTCCCCCTGACATCCAACTGAAATCTTCCCTCCCTCAACTTCAAACCATTTTCCCTCATCCTGCTGTTATCTACCCTTTCCAAGAGTTGATTCCCCTCCTGTTTGTAGGCTCCCTTCAGGTACTGAAGGCTGCAATGATTCACCCCGCAGCCTTCTTTTCTCCAGGCTGAACAAGCCCAGCTCCCTCAGCCTGCCTTTGCAGGGAGGTGCTGCAGCCCCTGATCATCTTTGCAGCTCCTCTGGACCCTCTCCAACAGCTCCTGTCTTTTTTGTACTGGGGGCTCCAGTATTCCCCCACTCAAGATGGGGCCTCACAAGAGCAGAGTAGAGGGGAACAATCACCTCCCTGTCCCTGCTGGCCACCCCTCTTCTGATGGAGCCCAGGATCCCATTTGCCTTCCGAGCCACAAGGGCACACTGCTGGCTCACGTTAAGCTTTTCATCCATCAAGACCCCCAGGTCTTTCTCTGCAGGGCTGCTCTCAAGGCCCGCTCCTTCCAGTCTGTAGGGATGCCTGGGATTCCTCCGGCCCAAGTGCAAAACTCTGCACTTTGCCGTGTTGAACCTCATCAGGTTCACCCAGCCCACCTTTCTATCCTCTCGAGGTCCCTCTGAATGGCATCCCGTCCTTCAGCCGTGTCGATGGCACCACTCAGCTTGGTTGGCCGGATCGAATTAATCACAGTAAGCCTGAATGCACGAGATGAGTGGAGATGCAGGGGAGAACACGGAGGTGCAGTTGAGCAGAGAGCAGACAGCAGGGGAGGATGCCCAGAGAAAAAGGCAGTGAAAGCACTGCAGAGCAGATGCCTCCACTGCGCCGTGGTTGACCACCTTTGCTTTTCTGTCTCCTGGTAGCTTTTCCCATCACACATGAGAAATAAGACAAAAGAATTGCCTGCATGTTTCCAATCTGAGAAGGTAACCTGTGTTAGAATCATACGCAGGCATCTGGCTCGTTTGTGCTGAATGGAGATGGGAAAATTCCCGTGGCAGCAGGTCAGGATCCCAGGCTGAAGGGCCAGGCTGCAGCAGCCACGTAAACAACACTGTGAGAAGGATCAGCACGTGTGCATTTAATTTCACTGTGCTCCATTGGGTGAAGGTTGTGTTGTGTTCCACTGCTTTGCTTTGGATTTCATTGATTTCATTGCATGTCTTTGCAGTGGGTTAGTGTTGTGTTGTGATCCACTGCTTTGCATTGGGGTGGGGTTGTGTTCCATTGCTTTGGATTCCATTGCATTTCATTTCATTGTGTTACACTGGGTTAGAGATGTGTTGTGTTCCATTGCTTTGCTTTGGATTTCACTGTATTCCATTGCATTGCTTTGCATTTGGTTAGGGTTGTGTTCCATTGCTTTGCATTGGGTTAGGGTTGCATTGCTTTGGATTCCGTTGCATATCATTTCATTGTGTTGCAGTGGATAAGGTTTGTGTTGCATTCCAATGCTTTGCTTTGGGTTAAGGTTGCATTGCATTGCTTTGGATTCCATTGCATTCCATTGTTTTGGCTGGACTTAGGGTTGTGTTGTCTTCCAATGCTTTGGATTCCATTTCATTTTGTTGTGTTGCATTGGGTTAGAGCTGTGCTGTGTTCCATTGCTTTGCTTTGGATTTCATTGCATTTCATTTCATGTGTTGCACTGGGTAAGGTTTGTGTCTGTTCCATTGCTTTGCTTTGGGTTTCATTGCACTGCATTGCTTTGCATTGGGTTGGGGTTCCATCACTTTGGATTCCACTGCATTTTCATTTCATTGTGCTGCATGGGGTTGGGGTTGTGTTGCATTCCATGGCTTTGGATTCCATTGCATTTCACTGCACTGTGTTGCATCCCATTGTACTGTATTTCATTGCATTTCACTGCATCCTGTCGCACCGCACTCCATTGAAGAACACCAGCAATCAGGTGCAATCTGATGCAATCAGGTGCAATCAGATGCAATCAGGTGCAATCAGGTGCTGCTGGCCGGGCTGGGAGGAGGGCTGAGCACAGAGTGCTGCCCATGCTGTTGGGGGTGCCACGTTCTCCTGCCCCTTTGCAAAAACAGAGCGGAAGTTGCGGCGCAGCAGCAGCTGGTTTCTAATTCAGCCCAGCCCCATGTCTGTAAGAGGGCTGAGCTCATCGGCTGCTCGGGATTTCTGGAGGTTCAAGTGCAGGACAAGGGCTGGGGCTGCGTGGGTCGTCCTGCTGCACAACAACAGCCACCGACAGCTGAGCCTCCCACAGGGCCCAGCATCCCAGCACCTGGGATTTCCATCTCGTGGCGCTGTGATCCATGGCATCCAGCAGCGATGTCGGAGTTTGACGCAGACGTTTGGGTTCACTCCACCTGTCCATTTGAACGCCTGCTCCCAAACCTCCCTCATTAAACCGCTGTCTTGGGAGCAGATGTCCCAAGTCCTCAGACCTGCAGCAATCCCTTCATCTTCACCACGACCTGTGGGGGCGGTTATACCCAGGGAATGAAAGCACTGCATACAGCGAGGTGACGCACGGTGTCCTCCAGCCACAGCACCCACGGACCTCATGGATCACTGCCTGCCCCGCTCCTCCCCTGCCTGCCTCTATGGGGCGCACAGCAGAGCCAGCCATACACAGGCTGCAAGCCAGTGCTCCAAAACGTGAGGAGCATGGCTGAGAAATGCAGCAATGAAAGGGAAAACAGCGAGTCCTTGGCTGACACGTAATGCCGGGCTTCCAGACTGTGCCAGCAATGGACAAGCCATATTTTCCCCTCAGAGAAGTACTGGGTATGCTGATCAACCCAGCCTTTGGCAGGGGGTTGGAGCTCAGTGAGCTTTAAGGTCCCTTCCAACTCCTCCATGCCACGATCCCATGGTTCTACAATCCTGCAAGTCCCTCCCAACCCATCCATGCCATCATTCCATGATTCTACAATCTTTAAGGTTCCTTCAACCCAACCGTGCTGTGATTCCATGGTTCTACAATGCTTAAGGTCCCTTCCAACCCAACCACACCATGATTCCGTGATCCCATGTTCTTTGAGGCCGCTCCAACCCACCCAAAGCCATTCCGTGATTCTGATTCCAAGCTCTAGACAAATAAATGTTTTCTCCAAAATGCATTTTTGAGAAATGACTCCAAGAAATTGAACCCCAGCCAGCTTCCTCTGTGGAAGTCGTTGCTCATTTTGGGTCAATTAGTTACCAGTTAAAGCAAGGAGTACTCAATTGGAATAGTGCTGACGATCTAGCAACTACCTTTCTCCAGCTTATACATAAATATTTCTTTTCTTAAAAAGGAAAAAAAAAGAAAAGCAAAACCCAACATTGGAATTTTACATTTACTATTCCCCTCTCAGAGCTGGGATTAAAAAGAAATCAAACCTTTTGTGCTTCTTTTCCAAGATATCCTGACCCAGCAGCTGCAGGCTCACATGGGGCAGCTCTGCTTGTTTGTGATGCTCCCTGCTCTGTGCCCGGCCCGAACTGGAGCTGCTGGGAACGGGACTTGCAGCGGTTCAGACGCGTTTCCTGATGGCAGAGTGGAGTCAGAAAGCAGAACTTGTGCAGAAAGAGCACTGGATCCCATTTTGGCGGAGATAAGAGGAAGCCTACAGGAGTGCATCCCCTGCAGGGGCCGACGCTGATTATTTGGAACTGATTGGTATTCGAAGGAGCAGATGAAAAGCTTTGGAAACCCAATGAGGCTGTTTCTAATTTCTCACTGAAAGCCACGGAGGCACCGTTCAGTTGGGAGGAATGAACCGAGATCAGCATCAGAGCCACCCTACGACTGCCCTCACCCCGAGCAGAGCGCTGAGCAGAGCAGGGATCGTCCCTGCGGCCATTTCTGCTCCTTTTAACTCCGGGTGGCAGAGTTCTGTAACGGAACCGCGAGGTCTGGGCTCTGCTCAGCGTGATCGCAGCTCGTTAGCGGGACGGGGAACGAAAGCAATCAGCCTGAAGTGCCGCATCTGCTTCGGGCGGGGAGGAGCTCAGACGGCCCGCCTGCAGACACGCAGAGCAGCGCTGCTCCTAAAGACCTGAGGTCACGACGCGACCCCCAAAGAGCCCGCCGGAGCCCCGGGTCTGTGCGCGCAGCGCTGCGATGCTCGCCTGCAGCCTCACCGCTCCGCCCGGTTGCAGCCCGGCAGGACGCAGCGTCCCGAGCGGCGCCCCGTGCGTGGGAGTGAATGGCGGATCCCTGTGCCGGGATTTCTCGCTCCGTGTCAGCCGGGAAGCGAAACCTTTCGAGCTTTCAGCCATTTGCTCTCCATCCATCTCCCGTCCCCGCGGTGCACAGCGCTGTGTCCCGAGGCAGCCCGTACATCACACGGCGCAGCAGCGCGCTGATTTCTACTCTCGTTCCGTTTGCATTCGCTCTGATAACAACCCGCGGCTTTTATTGCTGCAGCACAGCCCGCGGTTCGGGCGCTCTGTGCCCCCCGTCGGCGGACGTCGTTGTTCCTTTTGTGAGCAGCGGACACCGCGCGTCCTTTGCTGACATCCGACGGCCGGGACGGCGGCACAGCTCTGCCCACGGCTGAGGTGCTGTTTGGGGCAGGGCTGGTTGTGCGCTCGGGGGACACGACGGGGGGGGGGGGGTCTGAGTCTGTGACCGTAACGCAGCGCCCAAAGCCGGGAGAGGTGCGGATTTGCAGCAAACCTCAGGCGGCCTCCGCTGGGCGCTGCGGCTCCAATGGGGGCACGGGGGATACGGGGGGATATGGGGACGTAGGGGGGATATGGGATACGGGGGGGATATGGGGACATAGGGGGGATATGGGGACATATGGGATACGGGGAAATATGGGGATATGGGGACATATGGGATGTGGGGGAATACGGGGGGATACGGGATTTTGGTGGATACGGGGGTACAAGGGCTGCGGGAGCACAGCGCCGGGAGATGTGTGGTGTAAAACCACGGGGCGGCGGGGCGGTGCCGGAGCGCATTTATTGGTTCACACTTCGCTGCTCGGGAGCGGCCTGAGGAGCTCCTCTCGTTCAGGGCGGCAGTGGAACGAGCCGCCCCTCCCGGGCAGCGCACGGAGCGGCACCACCGAGCGCGGCACCACCGAGCGCGGCACCACCGAGCGCGGCACCACCGAGCGCGGCACCACCGAGCGCGGCACGCCCGGCCCCGCCCCCTCGCACGGCGCTCCCTGGAGCGGCGCAGCTCTCCCCGCCCCACACCGCTCGCTCTGCGCATGCGCCACCACGGCCGCGCTTGCGCACTACCGCCTCGGTGGCCGCGCGCACGCGCAGTGCGGAGCCCGAGGAAGCCGTGGGCGGGGCGCTTCGCCGGAAGCACCGCCCTCTTCCGGGAAACCGGTAGGGAGGCG